CTGGGATTCGTCAATCTGCACGGCCTGTGGGAGACCTGTCGATCTTGGGCTTGCCAGCTTCTGCAGCTGTGTGACTTGGGAGAGGCCTCTACCCTGATCCACGGACTTGGGACGTTCTAGCCTCTACAATCACGTGAGCTGTTTCCTTGATATAATCTCTCTCTATATATATTTATGCACGTTACTGGTTTTGCCTCTCTAGAGAACCCAGCCTAAGACACAAGGACACTTTCATAATCCACTTGGAGAGAAAATAGACCTGTGAACTAATAAGTATTCAGTGATAAGAAACTGAATAAGCATCGAGGGAATGCAGGAAAAGAAAGAAATAAAAAAAAAAAAGATTTCCTAGAAGTGAGTTTTAAACAGCATTTAGAAAGAGAAATGTTAAAAAAAAAAAAAAAAAGCCATTTTTCCCATCAAATAGAGCATTATTTGCAATGAAATTCCAACCGACTATTATGTCACTGAAAATATCTCCTTAATATCAAGATCAAAAAGGGGCTTTTTATCATCCCTTCAATTAGATCATTTTGGAGAGATACAAGGGCCAAAGTAGATAGTAGGGCCGTGTTTCACGTGGGTAATTTTCATGGAGCCCTGAGTTTCCATAGATGTTCTTAATCTTTTTTTGTGCCATGGAACCCTTTAGCAGTCTGGTAAAGCCTCCAAACCTCTTCTCAGAGTAATCTTTTAAAATTAATTTATTAAGGAAAGTATATATAGAATAATAAAAATTTTTGATACCATAATATATATGCTTCTTTAATAACACATTGCATAACAATTTCTAGTGGAGTCTTAATAACTACCTGAGTTGGAATTGACTTAGGTTTAATATGAAGTAGTGATGAATGTAAATGATAGTTTAAGATATATGCAACAGCTTGACATGAATATGTCTGATTTCTACTGGTAATAAAGCCTTTAATAGGTACTACTAATGCTGCTGTATTTATATGTGTTAGGCTGGGTTCTCTAGAGAAGCAAAACCAGTGAAGTGTGTATATAGATAGAGTTATTGCAAGGAAATGGCTCACATGGTTGTAGAGGCTGGCAGCTCCCAAGTCCATGGGTCAGGTGTCAGGCTGCAGGCTTCTCCTGATTCACATAACTGTAGGGGCTGACGAATCCAAGATCAGCAGGCAAGAAGGCAGGCTGCTGGCTCACTGGCTGTGGAGGCTGATGAATCTCAAGATCAGCATGGAATAGGGCAGGCTGGTGGCTCATGTTGCAAGAACTGGAGGGCAGATGATGACGAGTCGGATGCAGGATCCAGAGCAGGCTGAAAGAACTAAAGAAAAAATTCAAGCCTTGAGTTTCAATAGTGAAGGATTCTATGGGCAAAATATTGAACAATGCAGGAAACATCAAAAGAAGATGGAAGGAATACACAGAGTCACCATACCAAAAATATTTGGTTGACATTCAACCATTTCAGGAGGTAGCATATGATCAAGAAGCAATGGTATTGCAGGAAGAAGTCCAAGCTGCACTGAAGGCATTGGCAAAAAATAAGGCTTCAGGAATTGATAGAATACCAACTGAGATGTTTCAACAAATGGATGCAACACTGGAAGTGCTCACTCATCTATGCCAAGAAATTTGGAAGACAGCTACCTGGTCAACTGATTGGAAGAGATCCATGTTTGTGCCCATTCCAAAGAAAGGTGATCCAACAGAATGCAGAAATTATCTAACAATATCATTAATATCACACACAAGTAAAATTTCGCTGAAGATAATTCAAAAATGGTTGCAGCAGTGCATCAACAGGGAACTTCCAGAAATTCAAGCCAGATTCAGAAGAGGATGTGGAATGAAGGGTATCACTGCAGATATCAGATGGATCTTGGCTGAAAGCACAGAATACCAGAAAGATGTTTACTTGTGTTTTATTCACTATACAAAGGCATTCAACTGTCTGGATCATAACAAATTATGGATAACATTGCGAAGAATGGGAATTCCAGAACACTTAATTGTGCTCATGAGGAACCTGTACATAGACCAAGAGGCAGTCGTTCAACCAGAACAAGGGGATACTGTGTGGTTTTTAAAATCAGGAAAAGTGTGCAACAGGGTTGTATCCTTTCACCATACCTATTCCATCTGTATGCTGAGCAAAGAATGTGAGAAGCTAGACTGTATGAAAAAGAACACAGCATCAGGATTGGAGGAAGACTCATTAACTTGCGATAGGCAGATGACACAACCTTCCCTTCAGAAAGCAAAGAGGAATTGAAGCACTTACTGAAGAAGATCAAAGACTACAGCCTTCAATATGGATTACACTTCAACATAAAGAAAACAAAAATCCTCACAACTGGATAAATAAGCAACATCATGATAAAAGGAGAAAAGACTGAAGTTGTCAAGGATTTCATTTTACTTGGATCCATAATCAACGCCCATGGAAGCAGCAGCCTATTGCATTGGGCAAATCTGCTGCAAAAGACCTCTTTGAAGTATTAAAAAAAAAAAAAAAAGTCACTTTGAGGACTAAGGTGCGCCTGACCCAAGCCATGGTATTTTCAGTCGCCTCATAGCATGCGCAAGCTGGACAATGAATAAGGAAGACCAAAGAAGAACCGATGTCTTTGAATTATGATGTTGGCGAAGAATATTGAACATACCATGGACTGCCAGCAGAATGAACAAACCCTTCCTGGAAGAAGTACAGCCAGAAGCTCCTTAGAAGCAAGGATGACAAGACTTCGTCTCACGTATTTTGGACATGTTATTAGGAGTGACCAGTCTCTGGAGAAGGACATCATGCTTGGTAACGGAGAGGGTCAGTGAAAAAGAGGAAGACCCTTGATGAGATGGATTGACACAGTGGTTGCAAGAATGGGCTCGAACATAGCAATGATTGTGAGGATGGCGCAAGACCGGGCAGTGTTTCAGTCTGTTGTACATAGGGTTGCTATGAGTCAGAACTGACTCGACGGCACTTAACAACAGCAACAATGCTACTGTGGTTTACTGCCTGCATTGATAACTGAAGGAACTGCTAAGTTTCAGTTCATTAAATTAAAATAAATAATTAAATAAGTTTTTCATGGATCCCCTAAATTCTTTCCATGGATCCCTTTGGGTCCAATGTCCCAGGTTAAGAAACTATGTGGCTTAGCAATTACCTGAGAAGCCCCAGGAATTAAAGGAAAAAGTGGATAGGGCTCTGGACCCCTCACATCCTTTTGAATCAGAGAAACTCTTTTATGTATTAGAATTCCATATAAGGTTTCATTTGGGTGAAAAAAAAAAAAGGTTTCTGGGGCCAAATATTGTATAATTTTGAAAACAGTATTAGTTTTCTAGGGGTGCCATAACAAAGTACCACAAACTGGGTGGCTTAAAACAACAGAAATTTATTCTTTCACAGTTCCGGAGGCTAAAAGTCTGAAATCAAGGTGTCAGAAGAGCCATGCTCCCTTGGAAAGCTCTAAGTTAGAATCCTTCCTTACCTATTTCTGGCTTCTGATGATAGCTGGCAATCCTTGACTTTCCTTGGCTTGTGTGTGTCTGTGTCCAGATCTCCCTCTCCTTATAAGGACACTAGTCATTGGACTTAAGGCCCACCCTAATCCAGTATGACCTCATTCTGACTTGATTACATCCACAAAGATCCTATTTATGAATATGGTCACATTCACAGGTTC